AGCTCTATATCGTAGGGTCGTTACAGTTACCTGTCGCTCAGTCCTACTCGGTAGGATTCTTAACAGAATCCTAGATATAGGAAGTATGGTTGGATTGTAAGAAAGAAGTGGATATATGAGACATTAGTAGCTGCAATAAAAAGTAGAATGTATCAGAACACAGTACCAGGTCATCAGATACAAGAGTTTTCTTTAGCTAATATATACTAAAAGGATAGTTTGAATGAGAGAATCTATTCTAGAATATCTAGTGAGTCAAAATATAAAAAAAATGTATCTCAATAAATCATATCTGGGCATGCCCCTAAATTATAAGTTCATATTTATAACTTTTCAAGCATTTAACATATAGGAATTAAAAGAAGTAAAAGAATTGTTTTAATAATATTGCCTTAGCCTTCGTATTATGTACAGGTAGTATATACTATATATAAGTCTAATTTTTCTTTACTATTTTTAATTATTATTTTTTACTAAAGAAATCTTATTAAGACTATGCTTATTTGCAACTTATATTTGAGAAAGTAGTATCTATAATAGGAAGTGGCAAATTATATTTTTTAAGAAATTGTGAAAAGATTCATCTTTGTATTGTAATGTACTTGGTAGAACATTTTTTTTTCCTCTTATTCTAGTTGTTAATATACAGTATATGGTTAAAGATGAGGCCAAAATTTCTGGTTTACTAGTAGGCTCTTTCTTCATATAGGTCCTGTTTGATATACAACTATATAATAAAAATGCCATATTTCTGAAAACAGCATATTTTTTAATACAACTATACTAACTCAATAGTAGAATTTCCAGCCATTATCAATAGGAGGGAATCACTCTGCTGATTGTGATAAAAATAAAAGACAATTTCACTACAGCTAATTGAGAGGTCAGAAAACTTATAATGTGGGAAAATATGGAGGTCCTAGAGATGTTGTATTTTACAACATCACTATTTTTCAAACTACTCAACTAGAAGGACTCAAATTGTCTTTTATTCAAGCCTGAATGAGTAGTGTGATTTCCTCTAACTGACTATAGCCTGAAATTTTACTATTGAGTTAATATAGTAGCTGTATGGTTAAAAAATATAGTGTTTTTAGTAATATGGTATTTTTTTTATATGGTTGCACGCCAAAGCGGGCCATAGTATTTTTTAGAAATCAAATATTCTACACTGAATACAACTACGACTTCTAAGGGGCTGTTTGGCAACATAGCAAACTATAGTTTTCAATTGAAACCATGGTTTGCAAACTAACCAATAATAAGGCCTAGATATACTAGTTTTAGGGCCTCCTATTGGCCAGTTTTCTAACCATGGTTTGCCGTGTTGCCAAACAGCCCCTAAGATGTCAATTTTGATAGGAATGAAGTTTGACTCCTAAAAACCCCATGCCTCATTGCAACCAAACAACCAAACAGGGCCTAAGCTAAATTTGATTCCAAGTTTTGTTTTTCTGGTTATTTCTAAAAATGTTCTGGTTAATATGACAGCTAGTTTGAACTCAAGGCTTTCAGAAGGAGATTAGTTGCTTTTTTTTTGTTTACTAAATCATATTTATCATTCCTAGGTATGAGACTAGTGATCCTCGACACTCAGTTTTTAGCATTTTTTTCAGGATGGTATACAGCTTAAAGGTTTTATTCTTTCTTGCAACTTCTGCAAATCCTCTTAACAGCAAATTTCACCAGCCCCACTTTGTGTGCAACTGCGTAATATACTTCCCCCTCTCCCCTCTTTAATCCACAGTTGCTCTTCCCTTCTGAGCCACTTGTCTCTCTGCCTGCCAGTCCTTGGATTTAGTGGCATCTTGGTTGCCGTGGAAAATATGATTCTTCATTGCACATAAATTCTGGTTGCGCAGGAGTCAGCGATGGGTCCGGTTGTACCTGAACTTTACGAATGGCACTATGCGATCTGGTCGTCCCACTGCGACTCCAAGCAGTTCCATGGGACTGCATTTAAGTTTTGCACCTGTAGACGCTTGCAACCGGGACGAGGCTGATGCGTTTCTCAACAAAAACCCTGATCTGAGACCTGCATCGAGCGCTGCATCTTTGGGTCTTACAAGTCAGGTGCTCGAGCACTCAGCACGAGAGTACTCGTACTGTACGGTACTCAAGTAATGTCCAGTAACGTCCGATTACAGTCCTGTGATCACAACTGTCGGTCAGTTCCTGCCAACGGGATTCCTTTCAGACAACGTAGGCTTTACACCCTTGAATAGAGATTGTCCTCCCCTCCCCTTGGGCGAGCTGAGCTGAGGGTCCAGGGTGGACTTGCCGGAAGTTCTCTGACTCTGCACTCAACTCTACTCGTGCCCTACCGTACTTTCCTTGTGGAGTAAGATCCCGTACTTTGCTTCCCCTTTGGTTGGACCTGATGCCGCGCTTTGCTCCTGAGTGGTGACGAGGATAAGCAGCTTTATCCTCCGGTACTGTACCCACTCCCCCCACCACCACGACTGAAGAGCTCCCACAACGACCGTTTCACACTGTGCCAGTTACCCCTTTGCAAACCCACCTGTATATCAGTGCCATCCCAACGGTACCAAAATTGGTAATTGCCACCATCGCATTCCTATTCCTTTGCCTGATTCTCGCCTTGCTTCGGTTCCGATAATAGTGCCGGTAATGCCCTCTCCTGGGAATGCCCCTCCTCAGCAGCCTCCCCTGGACGGCTCCCACCGGTATGGGCCGAACCTCCGTGCCACTGGTGCCTCAGGCGTCGAATGGGACGGTTCGGATCGGATGTTAGATTCCACTGGCGCCCTTCTCTCCTCGTCACCTGAAGATGACCACGAGGACCGTGATTTCCCCGGAGGCAGGGACGAGGAGAGGAAGTCTGCCTTCTACGATTACAAACAGGAAAAGACTCTAAAGCAAACGGACGCAAAGATGATTTACCAGCAGCAGCAGCAAGCAAATAGTGGTTGGAACTCCCCGGTAATGCGTGCTTCTACGGGGAACTGGGCAGGCCCCGGCGGTGGCAGTGGTATTGGGAACCTGGGCAGAGCGGAAAGTGTTAGGTCATTTACATCCTCCCCCCAGCAGCCCCACCTCCACCACTCGCACCACCAGTACTTGGGACCAGCTTCTGGAGGCTCTACCTTAAGTATTACTGGATCAAGAGGCCTTGGTAACACTGCACTACCGCCGCTGGGAATGGCTTCGCACGAGAAACCTAAGGAGCACGGAGGTATACAGGCACCTGAAATGGGCCGCTTTGATCCCCATGGTGTTATTGGCGGCGCCACTGGGCGGAGAGGGGACTTTATTAATCCACAGGGGGAAATGCTCCCCGGGTCACAAGGTGGATACGTAGACAGTGAGTATAGATTCCTTCTTGGCATTGCATCTTGGAATCTTCGATCGCTCGGATTCAATGAACATGAAAGTGACATCATATTTGCGTGCATAGGGGATCCCACTCTTTCGGCAGAGCTTTCGACCATCTACACTAATGTTCAGAAGATCCTGGATATACGTCATAAGTATTTGCGAGTATCGCTACAAGGCCATGCTGATAATCCTAAGGACGACCCTATCTGGAAGATTTACCCACCCCCACCACCGCCTGTCTGGGTCGGGGATGGAGCTACCCATCCACAGACACCAGGGTGTAGTGCGGGAGGTTTACAGGAGATTGAAGGTGCTAGGAAGGAAGCAAACGCGACAGCTCAGAAGGAGGCTCGGAAGTCTGGACAAAATATTGGGGAGGATTTTACCTTTGAGGAATGCGAAATCCCTGGAGAGGATGAAATGGAATTTAGGAAGGATGGCCATGGCGTATTCCAGGTATATGAGAACAAAAAAGGTAACCCCCAGTTCGGGGCGATTTGTTCAATGCAATGCCCTGACTGCTGGTCATATCACAGCTCTGGATGCCGATATGCCTGTAGTGGCTATTCCTACGCTTAGGGAGTATTATATCGACTCGGATAAGATTCTTGATATTTCGAGCGATGGCCCGAGTAAGAGCTTCGCGTTTAGGCGGCTGCAGTATCTTGAGGGCAAGTGGAATTTGTACACTCTACTGAACGAACATCAGGAGATGGCAGACTCCAAGGTAAGTCGCTCGGTAGAATATCCGCTTCGGGATTTGGATCTAAGCTTGCCGGGGTTTTAGAGGGTGCCCCATAGAGATTTTTACAATGTGAGGAAAGTTGATACGCACGTTCACCACTCTGCTTGTATGAACCAGAAGCACCTCCTACGGTTTATCAAGCATAAGATTAGGAGATGCCCGGATGTGAGCACTTCTCCTATTTCAGGAACATGTATTCCATGCGCAAAGGAAATGACTGGATAATAGGAAAAAGTCCTCTTTAGGGACGGGAAGCATCTTACGTTGACTGAGGTGTTCGAGAGTATCAGTTTAACTGCATATGACCTCAGCATCGACACCTTAGATATGCACGTACGTGATGGCCGTGTCCAGATGAAGGGGCTGGAGTGCCAACAAATCGATATTTTTTGATTGGGCAATTATTAACCCTTATCCGGAGGTAGGCCCACACCGACTCGTTCCACCGCTTCGACAAATTCAACCTCAAGTATAATCCAGTGGGAGAATCTCGCTTGAGAACCATTTTCCTTAAGACGGATAATGATATCAAGGGCCGCTACCTCGCTGAGATCACCAAGGGTTTGTGCCAGATGGGGCTTGTTCCTTTAGCATAACATATTGTACTAATTTCCGGGAAATATAGAGGTTTTCCAGGATCTAGAGGCAAGCAAATATCAAATGGCCGAATATCGCATTTCAATATATGGACGTGCAGAAGACGAATGGGATAAGCTGGCAGCATGGGTGGTGGACCACAAGCTATTCTCACACAATGCTCGCTGGCTGATTCAGGTTCCACGCCTCTATAATGTTTACAAATCTACTGGCCTTATCAATTCCTTTGATGAGGTGGTTCGCAACATCTTCAAGCCGCTTTTCGAAGTAACAAAGGACCCGTCATCGCACCCCAAGCTTCACGTATTCCTGCAGAGAGTAGTTGGCTTTGACAGTGTGGATGATGAGAGCAAGGCTGAACGAAGGACCTTCAAGAAGTTCCCATCTCCACCGGAATGGACCGTTAATTCAAACCCACCATACAGTTATTGGATTTATTACCTGTTTGCGAACATGGCGTCCTTGAATGTCTGGAGAAAACAACGTGGGTTCAATACGTTTGTTTTGCGTCCGCATTGTGGCGAGGCAGGAGATACAGACCATCTGGCTGCTGCAGTGCTTTGCTGCCACTCAATTAGTCATGGTATCCTGCTCCGCAAAGTTCCTCTCTTGCAATATATCTTTTATCTTGATCAGATAGGAATTGCAATGTCTCCGCTCTCGAATAATGCACTCTTCCTTGCATACGACAAGAATCCTTTCCTGTCGTACTTTAAACGCGGATTGAATGTCTCGCTCTCTACAGATGATCCACTACAATTTGCATTCACTAAGGAGCCTCTCATTGAAGAATACTCCGTTGCAGCACAGATCTATAAACTTAGCGCTGTGGATATGTGCGAGCTGGCTAAGAACAGCGTCCTCCAGTCCGGGTTTGAGGGAGCTATCAAAGCGCGATGGCTGGGAAACGATTACCATCTGCCGGGGTCTGAAGGGAATAACATGGATAAGTCCAACGTGCCCAATATTCGAATGACTTTCCGGTACCAAACGTTGCGCGAAGAGTTAAAAATGTTCTCTGGTCTCCTCTCATTCAATGGACAGCATACTAACCTAGGATAGGCTCGAACGCTACACCTCCGCTCAGGTTGTGGCTGGTTCCGCAGGTCGCCGGAGTGCTGTGGTTGGCGGGAGGCTCACCCTGCCGGGAACACTATCCCAACCCTCCCGACCCCACTCACCAACAACTAGCATGCAAACAAACCCAACGTCGGTGCCGGAGCCTCCTTCGTTGCAAGGTGATCTCTCGCCAACCCAGCCTCCGGTGTCTCTAGGTTTCTCCAAGCTCCCTGCATCAGTTCACGTCCATGATTTCCAGCGCCATACTGCTTCCATAAACCCTCCATTGACTCCCGGAACAGAGCCTCGAGATGGCTACCCAAACATTCCAGTCTTGGCCAGGTCCAATACCACAGGCACCGCTGCAGTACTGAGGAATCATACTGGCGGTAGTTCTGGAGTCCCCGGCGGCTATGGGGATTATCACATTAGTGGCTCGGAGCCTAGGGTCTGGCCAGGTGTCATAAGCAGGCGACAGGCAAGTACTTCTGAGAAAGACAGCATAAACAGGGGGGTCGAAAATGAGGCAAAGGGCAGCAATCATGGGAGTGTTACTGGTGGTTAAGCTATTCTGGGTTGTGCTCAATCAGGGTTTCTCTTACAATGTCCTCTGGCTTTTTTCGTGAGGGTTGGCGTTGGCTTTTGTGGTAGAAAAAAATTGATACCCTGCTGTTCGCCAGGGGATTGGTCTAGTTCACTGTGCTATTGTTAGTGAGATGCGTGACCACATGTTACAGTAACTATTGTCGGGAAAGCGTGCGCAACAAAGGGTCGCACCAACGGCCTCTGATGTCGTGTTCGTTACCCTAGGATGGCCCTTCTCAGGTTTATCCACCTCCTCCCCCTGGCCGCTTTTTGATTAACTCACGGTACCGTTTTTTGACCCCGGGCAGCTGGGTTGCACTTGATATACATCCGGCATAGCTTTGATTTTTGGTGATTCAATTATAATGAGAGGGTTCCACTTTATCCTAGGGTGAGTAGAGACCCGGAAGCTTTGCGATCTTCGTTGGGGTTGCTGGTTGTGTAGAATCATATATCTGAAGCGAGTCTGCCAATGCTTCAGGTGATGAGGGGCTCCGGTCGGTATGTTGTGGTGGAAGCCTGTAATAGATATCGCATTTTGGCTTCGCGTTTCCATATCTAACTATTCCATGGCGATAACAGCCTCCTGCTTTCGAAATTGTCTACGTTGCATCTTTCGACTTGACATTCGGGTGCTAACATACAGCTAGAAATCCTCCGCCTGATATCCCTCTCCTCTGGTGCAGGCACCCACTCCTCTAGAACATACCTCCCAGTCTCCCCGGCACTCCCTAGCCCACGAGAGCCCTTTAAATTTCAAGCCCCTTGTGTTCGGACCCTGGAGCCGACGTCTCACCACGAACCTGGTATTCGAACATCTCGCAACAACATCTAGATCAGAACCCCGCTCATTAGGGCGATCAGCCAACCCGCCCTTACCCCCCCTCTTTCGTGTGGAGCACCCTCGGAATGTCGGCGTAGGGTAGGGTCACACTACGATGGACCACTGGGGTGCACCCGATCTTGCTCGAACGGGTTTCCGGGAATCCGCACGCAAGGAGCGATTGTAGGATCCATGCGGTACCGTACTGGAAGCCCCTTCCCTCCCCCCTCCGTCTTCATATCAACGGGGTGGTTTGAACGGTTGGTGCTCGAGCCGAACAGAAGCTTCTATGCTTGAGGATCATAAGTGGTTGAAGATGCATGGGCGGGTTCCGGGAACCGGAGTCCGAGATGATTAGCGCATATTGCGGGGAACATTTCCCGTAGGGTCCCGTTTAGTTTTGTTCTTGTAGCTCAGGCAAGCGAGATTTGCGATGGTTGCGCGCTGTGCTCTGGTTTTTTGGTTGTCCTATGCATGTACTGTACGAGTACTGTATTGGTAGATTGGGGGGAGGGGTATACGCTCGGAAAAGATGTTGTTTGGGCAGTCTTCCACGTCAAACTGGCTGTCTACTCGATCGACTTGTTGGCCGTTTAGAATGGCTAGCTCTAGGGGGGCATATCCACAGCGCCTTGGGGTGCACTCCGGCCTACCCTAGATTTTTGGGGGGTAGCTTTTGAGATGGTGTCGCGCTATAGGTTCTTGAAGTAGAGGTGTTTATGTTGGCTAGTTGTGGGAGCACAGGAGATGGGGAATAGTAATTCACCGACCGGTAGGATGTCTCCGATGTCGGAAGGCAATCGCTCAACAGTACCAAGCACATGTCACTAGCTATCCCCAACAATATCAATTAAGAATCCTCCCTTCCAACACTGAGACCAGCGACAGGTGTGGACCGCCATTCTCGGATCTAATCTTCAAACCTACCTCCGCTACTTACCCTTCCTTCCCAATATCATGAAATCCTGGATCGTATTCCTCCCCTCGAACTTAGCCCCTCCTCCGCCGCTACAACCTGAAGCAGTGCCATGTACCTAGGATTTAACTGCAAAACATATCTCGTGGAAATGAAAGGAATAATGGGGAATAATGGGGGATGCGTTGATGCGCCATTGACATGTCTTGGTGCCGTATCCTCGCGGGCCGTCTTGAGTAGCATACGGCTTACGAATATCGTATTGGAAGAGGGGAATTTGAGCCAGTGCGGGGGTCTGGCGTGGTGCTTGTTATGCGGGACGTAGGACTGCCTGTGGAGCCGGCAGTTAATGAAGCGGGGGGTCGAATATAGTCTAGGTAGGGAGGGAGCTAGGGAGAGAGGGGTGAAAAGGAGGGGGTGAGGGTAAAGGGGAAAAAGTGAGGCCAATCCCTTCGTTCGTGCCCGAATTTCACGACCTTTTAGCGCAGCCACCGAATGGGATCAGCAATGCACTAGACATATGTGGTAAATACTCGCCACCTGGACACAACCCAAAACAACCTTACACTAACTAGAATAGGAGTACTATATTCCATAAGTTCAAAGGGGGAAGAAGAACACAGCAAAACCTAATGCCAAGTATACCAATCTACTAAACATCTAAATGGTGATACATGTACATAGAATAAGAAATACAAAGGGGCTCCTGACAGAATGAATACTGAAAACTAGTATGACAAACCTTTCCGGAAATGGGCGAATTTAGACTTGGTAAACAAGGAGAAGGATTTGGCAATAGCAGTAGAAGAATCGAAGAGGAAGAGGTTGAAGAAAAAGTAGCAGGAAAAGAATGCATATCCTGGGAAGTCTGAACTATTAACTCGGAGGAGGTAAGAGTAGAAGAGTAATTGAAGATGCTTTGAGTGGGATTGATGGTAGATGAGATTTCAGAAGGGTAAAGTTCAGGATACTTGATCAAATACTAGCAAAAATGGCAAAGTTGTTTTCATCTATACTCTATTGTATGTTTCCCTAGCATTTTTCTTTTTGGATTGAAATCAAAGTATTTACTAACATAACCAGATCTCTAACTTCAATTATTGTTTTCATTTAGAGTTACTCCTGAACAGTATCTACCATTTCCCACTGGAGTAGCTACAGGAATAGTGTTTACAGATGTACAGATTTGTACTTTATAAGTAGGATGAAGGAAATGAAATCCTTTAAGTACTAGGTTCTATGCTAACCTAGTATGAAACAGGCTATAGTGACTCCAATATGGCTCATTGGAATGGGAATACATATCCCAGAATCCTCGTTCCTGAGGTAAAAGATACACATTAATTACTTATGTATCAAGTAATCAGAAGAAAAGTAGAAATCAGTTACAACAAGTTTGTAGTTGTGTATAGTAGTAGCTTTTTCTTTGGTCGACAATATTTACCCTACCTATATGATTATTGCAGTTAATACATAATTTAGGTAGTACTAACTCTCTCATCATATCCTGACCTGATCCAGCTTCTACAAGTTGCTGATTTACATTGGTAATTTTAGAATGATGGCATACTTGTCGAGTAAAATGCTCTGCTTCAGGGGTGCAAGTATGAGATGTTGTAAGGAATTGGACCAAATTCTTATCTTGCTATAGTACAACTAAGACATTCTTGACTGTAAGAGCTATAAGCATATTTCTGAATAAACACTGCTTTCTTTTATCAATTTTGAATACTAGTAGATAGGAGGCAGAGGATGGCCATGTCGTTTCACATTCTACTATAGAATACTTGTGTAATACTTTAGGTAAAGAGATACTTGAAAAGTAATTGTCACAGAAAAGAATGAAACAATATGACTGATACTTATGCCAAGGTTGCAGCGCTAGAGAACTGCATTTCCGGAAATTTCACTGGCTCAGTTTTTGGTGGCACTCATTCTGACTGCCCGACAGCTCAACATTACTTTGCAGCTCAATATTACTTTTGTGGCTTTGCATCATTTTTGTAGCTTAACATCACTTTTGCAACTTAATCTCACTTTTGTGGCTCAACATCACCTGTAATTCTATGTGTTCCATGCTAGTAATTCTAAGTATTGTATTTTGATAGTTTAGTATAATGTCAGCATATCTACAATAAACACAAAATTCCTTTCTACATGTTTACAGAAACTCTCTATCCACAAGACCACAGTTTTTCCACTAGATACGGATTCTAAACTTCATAATATGCTACCTGCACCCTCTTTACCTTACTTAGCCAGTGAGTAGAACCATATAGTGATATTGAAGGATGTATTCAAGTGGCTCTTATCTCACTGGCTGCTTCTAATGAACTTGCACCAAATATCACTGTAGCAGTACGCAAATATGAAATTCCAGTCTCATATCTTCGGGCTTGTTGAAAGAGATTCCAGTTAAAACAAGATGGACTAGTAACAAATTACAAGCTAGCTTCTGATCAAGAGCTCGCAGTATGCCAGTACCTTGACTGTCGCAATATAGTTGAGACAAGTGCATGGATCCAAATGGTTTTGGCTTGTGTGAATGCGGTTCTTAAACTTCCCCACTGTGGACCTGATCCTGAGTTGATCAGTACTGGACAAGAAGGTTTCCCGATTGGCATTCAGAATACTATATATGCAAGCAACAAACCATTGATGCTGATTGGAAAAATGCCCATGATCCTGATACCATTCGCAAATAGTTTATCAAGTATTGAAAGGTGTACAAGGAATATAGGATTTTGCCTGCAGATACCTATAACTTTGATGAAATAGATTTCAGAATCGGGATAGGTCATAATCAGTAGATTATTACCTGTGATCCAAACCGGCAGTCCTATCTAGGAAACTCAAGAAATAATGAGCTGATTAGTGTTTGTAAAACTATTAGTGGCATAAGCACAGTATTACTAGCATTGGTTATCATTCTAGGTGTTATATACTAGAAGCTATGGTATATAGCAACATCAATTCCCAGTGAGTATCTCGTTGGAACTTTGGAAACTAGTTACAGTAACGCTGAGTTGACGATGGAGTGGCTT